ACGGACAGACGGACAGACGGACAGACGGACAGACGGACAGACGGACAGACAGACGGACAGGGCCAAATCAACTCAGCTCGTCACCCTGATCAAGAATATATATACTTTGTGGGGTCTGCCACGCCTCCTTCTCCCTGTTACATACATTTCAACAAAACCATTATACCCTGATTTCCCATTGAAAATGGGTTCAGGGTATAAATAGTATACAAAAATATTAACATAATTTTGCCACCCCTTTTTGGGCAAGAAAGAGAGAGAGAGAGAAAGTGAGGCAGTTCACGTGCACGTGCGAGTGAGAAAGCCAAACAGGACCAGCAGGCAGTAATCGATAGACATACACACGCACACACACAGACTCATATAGACACATACGCAATGAAAAACGAACGGCCCCCTTGCTTAAAGAGCAAAAGCGTAACGGAAAACGTAATCATGTCAAGGACACCACCGAAGCAAATGGCCAGTTGAAGAGAGCAAAACAATAGATTTATTAGCGACTGCTGCTCACTAAATATTTAATTTAACAATTTACAATAATTATGGGTTGTTGTCGTTTGGCTTATTGTGCACTTACAAACACACACTCACACACTGACACACAGTTATAGGCTAACGCACGCACTGCTAGAGCTAGGCGGAGCGCAGCAGCCATACGAATGGCCAGCTGCATACACACACACACACACACATAGCGAGAGAGAGAGAAAGGGAGAGACAAAAACCGTATATGCATGACAAACTCTTACGCTCGCTCACACACAATGTACAGCTATGGCCAGCAAATAGTGCAACGCACATTCAAATGAACTTTAAACATATAACTGTTCTTTTACACTTATACAATACATGCACGCATAGATTATATATGACCGCCAGAGTGCACTTACGTTTTGCTCTTTCAATTTTATGCTGCACACTAAGTAGGTTTTCTCCAATCAACTTTACGCGCAAAAAACTCTACGAAAACGGTTAAATTTGATTTTGTTAGAGCTGCTGCATTGCTGGTCTGCGTCCAGCATCACAACCACCGCTGGTAAGAGCACAACTGCTTTTTTTTAGTATAATTTATAATGGTTGCCCGACGCGGGGGTTGTTTGCTTGCACTGAAGTTAACAGTCTGTTTTAGTGACACCGTTGCACTCGACGCGCTTTTTATTTTTGGGCAAGCACACTATTACGATGATTGTTTATTTCAGTTGTTGTTGGCTTTGGATGCGTTGCGGTCCGCGCTTGTACACCGCCGTTCGATCTGTCTCCAAAAGCAGCGTTATTTTTTTTGTTGGTCTCAACTCGCGCATTCTAGGGATGTTCACAACTAATCGATAGACATCGATAGACTAACAAGCAACACTACGCACAATCAGCTGTTTCTGCGATTGCTATTTAGCGGATAAAATACTGAAGCGATACTCCGCGTGCACTCCAATGTATCGATGCTAAAAATAGCCGTTGACTGCTTGTGAAATTTAAATAAATAGGTGGCTATAAGGTCTTGTTTTAAGTTGGTTCAATTACAATCCCACAACATTTACATGGCACTTGAATAAGACACGGTTCTTCAAGTCCGCGCCTATGACATCATTGTTACACTCGAGCTTGATGAGCCGGTTGAATTCCTTTGAGATAGATTAATCAGCACCGAAACGATTTAGCCATATTAGGCTGTCAGCTCATAGTGATAGAGTACAACAAATACTATAGTCTGCACAATATTATATTTACAATATTTACTGAGTAATCTTCAAAATATATTGGAATATGTTGCCTTCTATGTTGCACTCGAACAAATGCCCTTCAATCCAACAGAATGTGGAACAGACTATTGACTATTGATTTGATAGCTTTTGCTAGTCTTGAACACAAACAGATATTGTCTACATCTATTGCGCCTTATTCAATCAATTTGTGGCCATCCTCTATGCTAATCATCTCGTGCCGTCGTCCCAGAATTTGTTTCGTATTTCTTCTAGCTATATTGTTTCGTGTGCTGCAATTAATAGAGAATATACATACATATGCTTCTCATTTGCTAGGGACATTGATATACATACATACTTGTTTCTGCAGCAGAGCGATGCCCTGATCCCACTGCAGGCCGTGTTTGAGTATTGCTGGAGCCATCAGCTGCTCAACATGAATGTGATGACCCAGAGGAAGTCAGCAGATCAATCGGTTTGTGGGCGTGGCATGGCAGATGCTGCTGTGGTCTGTATTGCCCTTGTTCAGCGTGAGCGTTAAGGCACCGGAACTGGAGGACCGAATGCTGCAGAAACTAGCAAGGCGTCAAGAAAAAATAGAGCCTGCCCAGGACACGGCAGGAGGTACTGCATCTGGTGGGTAGCTGAAATTAATTTATTTTCGATTAACTCAACTCACTGAACTTTGACAGCTGCATCAGCAACGTGCTCACCTGACCATTGGCTACATAGGCACGTGGAATACGCCACCAATTCAACCGCCGTCCGTCCGCACTTCTCTAGCCGGCTGTATGCCAATGAATGCCTACAATCCGAGCAGCTGAGAGCTATTGGCTATTCCCTTCTAGACGTGCGCCTGTCTCGCCGGGGCGAGCGGCTTCCTGGCAGTTAGCAGGCAGGGCTGAGCGATTGACAGGCCATCGCGGTGGAGCACGATGTGCTGAGCGAGATTGATCTGCGTCCGCAGCGCTGTACCTATGTCATCCTTTTCAGACAGACGTAGCTATACGAGGCGGAACGTGCCCATGAGGCGGGCGCATAATGCATGCTGCCAAACATGTGCTGGAGCAGCTGGCCATCTGGTACCTGTCTGGATGAACTGGTTACGGCCATCCAATCGGTGGGCTTAATCAACTACTGGGCCGGGCAGCTGGGCAGCGAGCGCTACTTTCGCAGCACCTTTATGTACCGGGACCGGCGGCTGCCTCAGCTCGATCTCTCTGCCATTCATTACATTATGGGCGTGCTCTATGTCCTCGTAACGATCGGGACCTTATGGGAGCTGATCTCGGTGATATTTCCAATTGTTGCTGATGTTCAATAATTGCACAACAATACAAAATGGTTCCATAACGATAACGAAAATATTACTGTAATGCATTGGAATAACGAGTAAAAACAAAGAAAACAAAACAACAAAATATGTCTTTTACAGCACTATATCGATTCCGATAACATTTCAAATAATCTGCAGGAAACATCAAACGATTATGCTCCTGCAGGCAAATTACGATTACAATTGCTTTCTATTTCGAAAGTTCGAAGTCCATAACGAACGTGAGTTAGCGAAAAAATTCGAAGCATTTGATTTAAGGCCATTATTCTCGTTTCGATTTATTATGCAAATCACAAAGTTTTTTCTTATTAAATGCTATACAAAAAAATACATCAAAAGATGAGTTTAAACCCGTTTAAAATAGTTGATGACTGCAATCGTCATCTTCAATTTCAATAAATGCAATTCTGGCTTTAACCGATTGATAGCTGTTGCCGTAGCTTTAAAGCTTCTGCAGCAGAATAGAGGAGGCACCGCCGCCACCATTGCAAATGGAGGCGCAGCCCAGCTCGCCGGTTTTTAGGGCGTGTGCCAGGTGAGTGATCAGGCGAGCACCGGACATGCCAATCGGATGTCCCAAAGAGACGGCTCCTCCATGGATATTGACCTTGGCGGGGTCGAGGTCCATTTTGCGCATGTTGGCCACGACGACCAGAGAGAAGGCCTCGTTGATTTCCCACATGGCAACATCCTCTTTACGAACGCCAGCTCGCTCCAGCAGCTTGGGCACAGCAAATGACGGTGCAATGGGAAAGTCAATGGGATCAGTTTCGGCATCCTGGAAGGAAACAACGCGTGCGAGCGGCTTTACACCGGCACGTTGGGCCGCCTCGGCGGTCATGAGGACAACAGCAGCACCGCCATCGTTTAGCGTCGATGCATTGCCAGCGGTAACGGTTCCGTTCTCCCGCTGGAACACGGTCGACAGCTGGCCAAACTTATCAAAGTTGACACGCTTGTACTCCTCATCCTCGGCGATCACCTGTTCGGGTTTGCGTTTTACCTGAATCTTGACGGGAGCAATCTCATTGGCAAAGACTTTGTCGCTCCAGGCCTTGGCCGATCGCTTGTAGGATTCGATGGCGAATTCGTCCTGATCCTTGCGGGTGATCTGCATCTTCTTGGCTGTGTTCTCGGCACAGTTGCCCATATGGAACTTGTTGTAGACATCCCAGAGGCCGTCGAAGACAATACCATCGGTCAGATTAACGCCTCCATAGGGTGTATTGCCACGTTTCAAATAGTAAGGCACATTCGACATGGACTCCATACCGCCAGCCACAACGACATCGGCTTGGCCAAGCATCAGCGACTGGGCGCCCAGCATCACAGCCTTCATGCCCGAGGAGCAGACCTTGTTCACAGTCGTGCAGCACACATTGGTGGGCAATCCGGCAAAGATGGCCGCCTGACGGGCCGGTGCCTGGCCGACCCCCGCTGACACAACGTTGCCCATGATCACCTCATTAACATCGCTTTTGGCAATGCCCGCACGCTCGATAGCCGCCTCGATGGCGGTGGCACCTAGCTGTGTGGCTGACAGAGGTGCCAGCTGGCTCTGGAAGCTGCCGATGGGCGTGCGAGCAGCAGAAACAACAACAACATCGTTGATCTTGGAGCTGTAGCGACGCGCCTGAGCGATCAAATGGCGGCTGGTGGCTTGCAACATGGCACTGATAGCGACAATTTATATAATGATCACTGGAATATTACCCGGACCTGATCACGCTTTGATATAATAATGAGTGAGAATCAGAACCTGTTGCTCTTTAACCGCTTGCGTAACGCAACAGCTGTTGCTGATGGTGTTGAAAAGCGCTGTGAAGTTGCATTGAAAGCTTTTCTGTATATATATAACAACTATATTTTTAGTATTTGTTAAGTTTGTCTTTAAATGTAGAATCCAATTAATGCCAATAATAAAAGGGCAAAACATCTGAATTAGTTTTTTATTTGCGCCACACGTATATCTACAAATATATGTGTTTTTCAGGTAAGTAAATGTGAAAACTGTTCTCATTACTTAATTGTTCTGAATTCAAACTTTTACAGTGGGTGGCTCAAGAGCATTCAACAATTTATACCACTCAGTATTATTTTGGTATTTGCGAATTTGCGCGCTGGCGGTCACACACTTCTTGTAACTGCAAAACAATAACAAAACAGAGGGCAGACAAGCATTACTTTACCGCCTGCCGCCAATCGCTTGCCCGCCTGCCCGGTCGCCCGCTCGTCTGCCGCGCGCAACAAACCAACAACAAGCACTTGCTCGCAAATCCCTGGTTCTGGTTCTGATTTTGGCTCCGTTACAGCTGCCAATTATCGCTGCATCCAGCCATCGCGTCGTCTTGTCTTGGCCGTGTGCTCGACCAGTGTGCTGCGATTGTGTTTGCGTGTGTGTGCAGAACGCCGTTTATTCATTTCTTTTTTTTTTAACGTTGCGCGCATGTGAATCTATAAATTCTTTTCAAATTTTTTATGTGTAACTAACTAAAAACAACAACAATATGACGAAGCATGTGCATAGCATAGGTATTATTTATTTGTAGTAACAAGAAGCATAACATCAACTGAAGCGAGACCGAAGAGTCGGCCAGAGGAGAGACAGACGGACGAACGGACGGACGGACGGATGGATAGCAAACATTGGTGCAGCGTGGAAGCAGTGAAAGACAATGAATAATTAATGCAAATATTGCGCCAGATTGTGACTAATTTTTAGAAACGAGCTATAGTTCAAATTCAAATCGATACTTTGTGTAAAAGCCCTCATCACGCAACAGCAGCAAAAGTAGCAACATAGCCAAAAAAAAAACAAAAAAGTATTACATACCAATACAAGCAAACAACTTACACGCACGGGGACGCTGGCACGCACGCACGCATTGTTGCGCCCACTTCAAGATAGAAGAGAGCGAGAGAGAGGGCTAGAGCTAAGGAGCAAGCAAAGCAGCGTCATCAACAGCAGCTAAAACAAACAACTGCAGTGCAAGGCAGAGAGCGATAGAGAGAGAGGGAGAGAGAAAGAGATAACTTAAAGCTTCAGTCACAGCTCAAGCTCAACCAAAACAGCCGCCGCCGCAGCAGCAACAGCAGCAGCAGCAGCAGAAAGAAGAAAAACAGAAAACAAAACAAAGATATAATCATGGTAAGTCCGCAGCTGACGTCGCCGCGCGCGCCTTTTTGGACTAGTACCAAATGCGGCAATAGCAACAGCAACAACAGTAACACCCACACAAACGCAGCTGACGTTGGCGGTGCAGCCTCGCTTCGAGCGATTTTCAAAAACCAAACACAAAATCCGTTTTCAGTTAGCGCGCTGATTTCTTGGCCAACGGTTTTTAGTCTCTAACACATCAAGTGCTCCATAATTTGCATTGTTTGTTAGATTGTTGCAACAGTAACTGTTGCTATTGTTGTTGTTACTGCTGTTGTTGCTGTTACTGTTGTTAAAGTACGTACATATATATGTATTATATTATAACCTAGTTGAGCAGCTAATTGATTACTCACCGCAGCTGCTCTACTAGCTCCTCAAGCCTCGACTCTCCTCCGCCAGTGTTGTGTTATCTATCAGCAAAGAGTTTAGTGCGTTTAATCAGCGCGCCTGCCTCCTGATAATTAATTTAGTATTTTTTCTATTTTTATGACTGTGACCCATTTTTATTATTACATTAATGATTTACATGTATGTATGTATGTATGTGTTATTTCCCATGCTAATATTCTGGCAAAGATTTAAGTAAATCAAATGCTGCCTTAGCTTATATGTATATGTTTATGTGTGTATGTGTGTGGTGCTATTTCCATTTAGAGTATCTAACTGTAGAGTGTGACCCATCTCCACAAAATTTGTGAATCAACAAGCGATGCGAGTGAAAAATTCGCAATAAATTTTTAATTTGCGCTTAATTTCATTTTATTTCATTTAACTTGGAATTGTATATTTGTTTTGACTTATTAAATATTTTAAAAGTGATTCTTTGTCTATTTATAAATTTGAATACATGGCGTATACCTATGTTTATATAGTTTATTAAACTCTTTGTTTGACCCTTTTGAGCTATATCAAGTGTCTACTGTACTTGTTAAAGCTTAATAACCTGTTGTTATATCTCAGCTTTTGAGCGTAGGAGGAGCAAGTGGAATGAAATGAGTTCCTAACGGGAAATACTGTTTTGCATTGAAAAATAAAATCAATAGACGCATTTTAGTTGCCTATAAATAAATGTTCTCTAATCAATCGATTATGTTTTGAGTTTGGTAAGCGAAAACTTCTGACAAAGCATGGAAATCTGAAAAGCTTAACTTGAATTTAGGCAGTCCTATAGAGCACATAGAGCTATGACTAGAGATGGTTTTTTTACTGAGCATAAGAAAATTAGCTTGATTAATTATTATTTATCGATTACTTTAAAGAAGCCATATTGACGTTTCTATGTTTTTTAAAATGTTTATTTGTATATATGTATATATAATTATAAACATTTATATACAGATCTATGTATACATATATTTGAACAGAGCTGAATAAGCTGGCGTAGCAGTCGTCGTATTCATTATCCCTATATACGTATACATATTATTCAGTGTAATTTATATATATATTTGTAGTCATCAGTCCCATGACTTCTTCAAGAAAACTCTTCGACTGCCAACATATCAAGCTGAAAAGGATCTCAGTTAAGCATATACATACATATTTTGATTAAATCAATCTAGCATTCACACACATTCGAATTTTGCAAACTTTAGGAGCAGCTCTCGTTGTATTTATTATTTCGCTCTCCATCGTTGCCACCTTGACACTCTCCTCCTTCTCTTTCTACACCTCAATCAACCCATCTCGTTTTTTATTTCATTTTTTTGCATCACTCTATCTCTCTCATTTGCCAACTCTCTCGCAGAGCTCACCGATCGTAACGCGACGAGGCGCTCAACAGGCCAAAATACAAACGCGTGCTATGGTCAAGTCGAAGTCAGCGTCGTCGTCGTCGTCGTCGACAGCGACGTCGCTGAACGCGGCGGCTGGGCCGAACGCCAATGGAAGCGCCGGCAGCTGTGGGCCGCGCAAAACAAGTCCAGCGCTCCAGGAGGCGAAACGTCGCGCGCGGAACATGCTGAAATCGCAGAGCAACGGACTAGGCTCCCAGCTGGAGCCAATTATCGATATCTTTCAGAATGTGAGTATATATATGTATATATAAATGTGCATAGGCTTAGATATCATTGCGTGGTCTTTGTTAACTCATTAACTATACAAATCTTTTACAATAGTTGATTTACTAACGGTCTATAGACCTAACGCTAGTTATCGATCATTTGCATAACTTGGGGTATGAGCTAATTATCGATATCTTTCATAACTAGCGAGTCAGAGCTAGATATATGCATGATTTTTAAAACGTGAACAGCTAAAGAAACCTATCGATTTATCCCATAGCCAGAGAGCTAAAACTAGTTATCGAACACTTTTGTAGGCATAAAGTTGGTGAGCTATACCTTTGATAGCTATAGAGTAAAGCTAGTTTCATAAGAAGCTTATTATCGATGCATTTCGTATGTACAATATATAGTAAGTTGTCGATATCGCTAGATGTCAATATCTTTCATAATTAGAAGCGTATAACTATTTCTTGATTTTTCTTGATTTCTTTGATGACGTAAATGCTAGATCAAGTGCTCGATAACTTATAGAATGTATATTGATAGCTTTAAAGCTGGGTGATTGAACTGTCTATCTAGTGTTAAACAGTAGCTAGTTATCGATAACTCTTAAACAGTGGTGATCGATCATTGATCTATTGTGCTATTGAGTTTTAGGGCAGCTTTCTACCTCTCTCCCATAGCTCATATAGAAAACTGACTTGCCTTCATGGAATGAGCAATCGACTTTTTGATTGAGATGATTGACTGACTGATGTTTCCCGTATAGCTCAGGCCACAAGAGCTATTAGGTTACATTTTAAACAACAGATCATTTGCCAATCTCGTCTTATCGAAAGATATACCTTTGTATATATCTAGCTAATCGGTTATTTAATATGCTCACCTATCTTTCCCTGACAGGCTGTCAATGCCAAGAGCATGCATCGCGGAGCCACAGCGCTCATCTATGACGAGTCCATGAGCGAGCATTGTTGCCTGTGGGATAGCACACATCAGGAGCGGCCCGAACGCTTTACGCGCACCATGGAGCGGTAAGAGCAGCTGAATATTCCCATATATAAATTGTCATACCATCTGTATCTATATCCCTATGTAGGTGCCGCGAACTGAACCTCGTGGATCGCTGCCTGCAGCTGAAGTCCCGTCTGGCCACCAAGGACGAAATCCTTAAGCTACACTCAATAGAGCACTACGAGCGACTGGAGCAGACGTCGGGCGTGCGCAACGAAGAGGCTATGGAGGAACTGAGCTCCCACTATGACGCCATTTACATACATCCGGTAAGACATACAACAGCAACAACAACGACAATAACAATAACCAAGATCTATTTATTCATAAGTGAAATCCATTTATTCATTAGAGAACTGCATTTTTATTGGAGAACGGCTAGCTCAGCCATTGTAATCGAGAGCCAACGAAGCGTTTCAGATGTCAGGCATTTCTAATGAGATTAGATTGCATAGAATATAATAAACGAATATGTAGTATATATATGTATATATATAGAATAGAGCCAARCACTTGCTCGCCAAATGCAAATGCAAATGTTTGCATAGTCGTCGTGTCTTATCAGCCTTGCGATTAGTTGTAGAATGAAAAGTTTGAGCTATTCAGATTTTTCACTGTAGGAATTTCCATTTCCATTTCCATTTCTAGGTGCCCCAAGTGGGATAAGATAATAGTTTTTATAGAGCTTTAATGTGTGCTCACATACATATACATATTGTAATACTAATTTCTCCCCCCACTCTCTCTCTCCCTCTCTCTCTCTGATTCCCTCTCTCCAGTCCACGTTCAAGCTGTCGCTATTGGCCAGTGGCTCGACCATTGAGCTGATCGATCAGCTGCTGCTGGGTAAGGCACAGAATGGCATGGCCATAATCCGACCGCCTGGCCATCATGCCATGAAGTCGGAGTTCAATGGGTATTGCTACTTCAACAACGTCGCATTGGCCGCACAGCACGCCCTCGAGGCGCATCAGCTGCAGCGCATCCTGATTATCGACTACGATGTGCATCATGGCCAGGGCACGCAGCGTTTCTTCTACAATGATTCCAGGTGGGTATTCAACGAATAGAAGTATCTATAATCTTGAGTACAATTTCTCTCTCCCCCTCTGCATTTTAGAGTTTTGTATTTCTCCATACATCGCTATGAGCACGGCAGCTTTTGGCCCAATCTTCAGGAGTCGGACTACCATGCCATCGGCTCCGGTCCCGGCACTGGCTACAACTTCAACGTCCCGCTGAATGCCAAGGGCATGGGCAACGGCGATTACTTGGCCATCTTCCAGCAGCTGCTGCTGCCGGTGGCCATGGAATATCAGCCCGAGCTGATCATTGTCTCCGCTGGCTATGATGCCGCCTTGGGCTGCCCGGAGGGCGAGATGGAGGTGACGCCGGCCTGCTATCCGCACTTGCTCAATCCGCTGCTGCATCTGGCCAATTGCCGTGTGGCTGTCGTCCTGGAGGGCGGCTACTGTGTCGAGTCGCTGTCCGAGGGCGCCGCCTTGACGCTGCGTGCGCTGCTCGGGGATCCCTGTCCGCCGCTCGTCGAACGGCTGGAGCTGCCCAGCATGGAGCTGCGCGAATCGGTGCTCAACTGCATCTATGTGCATCGACCGTACTGGCGCTGCCTGCAGCTGCAGCAGACCTACACGCCCGCCGACTTGGAGTCGGAGAGCGCGGCAACAGCTCAGTTGCATCGCGTCAAGCGGATTTGGCTGGGCGGCCCGCCTCCAGAGCCGGATCAGCGTTATCCCACACGCGGCACCTCCGCTCAGCTGCCCGAGGACGTAGTCGCTCGCAATGCCGCCCGCCTGTCCGTGCTGCGCGCCGAGACGCAGCTGTCGGTGCCAGCGATACGGGTCTGCTATGCCTACGATGCCCAAATGCTGCAGCACTTCAACTTGCACGACGCCACGCATCCGGAGCAGCCGATGCGCATACGGCAAATCCATCAGATGCACGATGACTACCAGCTGCTGGGGCGCATGCATCAGCTGTCGGCGCGCGCCGCCACCACGGACGAGGTGTGCCTGGCCCATACGCGGGCCCACGTCAACTCGGTGCGCCGCCTGCTGGGCCGCAGCGTCGAGGAGCTGCAGCAAATGGGAGCCGGCTACAATTCGGTGTACCTGCATCCGCGCACCTTCGAGTGCGCCACCCTCGCCTCCGGCTCGGTGCTGCAGGCTGTCGACAGTGTCCTGCGCGGGCAATCGCGCAGCGGCATCTGCAATGTTCGACCACCCGGCCACCACGCCGAGCCGGATCAGCCGCACGGCTTCTGCATATTCAACAACATAGCCATTGCCGCCCAGTATGCCATACGGGAATTCGGCCTGGAGCGCATCCTGATTGTCGACTGGGATGTGCACCACGGCAATGGCACACAGCACATCTTCGAGTCGAATCCCAAGGTGCTCTACATAAGCATCCATCGGTACGAGCACGGCGCCTTCTTTCCCAAGGGTCCAGCGGGCAACTACGACATGGTGGGCAAGAATGCGGGGCGTGGCTTCAATGTGAACATACCCTGGAACAAGGTGAGTGCGCAGCCCTGGCTAATATGCATTTGCCCTGTAGTAAATCTCGTTTCCTTGCACTTTGCAGAAGGGCATGGGAGATCTGGAGTACGCGCTGGCCTTCCAGCAGCTCATCCTGCCCATTGCGTACGAGTTCAATCCGCAGCTGGTGCTCGTCTCGGCCGGCTTCGATGCGGCCATCGGTGATCCTCTGGGTGGCTGCAAGGTGACGCCCGAAGGCTACGGCCTCTTCACCCATTGGCTGTCCGCGTTGGCCGGCGGCCGGATCATAGTGTGCCTGGAGGGTGGCTACAACGTCAATTCCATATCGTATGCCATGACCATGTGCACCAAGACGCTGCTGGGTGATCCGGTGCCGACGCCCCAGTTCATCCCAGCCGCCCAGCGATCGGCCACGGTGGCCTTCCAGAGCTGCGTGGAAACGCTGCAGCTGTGCGTGGAGCAGCAGCATCAGTATTGGAAGTCCTTGGTCTTTGGCTGCAAGCTGCCGCAGTGTGTGCTGGGCGAGAATAATAACGAGGATTTTCTTGCTGCTACAATGAGTCAGCTAAGCATCTCAAATGACAATGCACTGGGCGCAGTCGGCGGCGATGCCAGCCAACAGCCCGATCCCGGCCAGGATCGGCCCAGTGGCAGCAAGCCCAAAGTCAAGGTAAAAACGCTCACCGAGTTTATGGCCGAGCACAAGGAGGTACGAGTCACACACACCGAGCATCAGTTGCTCTCACATCCAACTTGCGTCTAATTGCCGAACTAATCTCATGTCTCTCTCTCTATTTCTCTCGCTCCCTCTGTAACTCGTTCCGCTGCTCTTGCCAGGCGCTCGAGCAGCAGGAAATGTTTGCCATTTATCCGCTCAAAAGCTGTCCACACTTGAGCCAGTTGCGCCCGGAGCAGGCGCCCAAATGTAAGCGAAACGAGAACCACAGCAATATGCATCTATTCCTGTCCCTGTCTTGTGTTCTATTTGTTGTTCGTTTATATTTCTCTCTCTTTCCTACACGCTCTATCTGTCTTTTTCTTTTTCGTGCTTTTTTAGCTTGTGTGTTGACATTTTGAATGCTTTTTATTTGCTTTTGCTTTATTTGTCAACTGTTATAATTGCAATATAACAGTTATTGGAATGTATAATTGTATACGCAATTGCTTAGCACAGTATAAAAATGGCAATATAAAAACGAAGATGATTATTATGGCGCTACAATGGAACTCGCATGCCTGTATAACAGTTGTATTACTAGCGAATAGCTGAGAAATGTAATGTGTCAAAAGTAATTGTATATAACAGTTGTAAGACATTTGTATAACAGTTTAATGGAGGACACGGAAAGAGCTGTATATCAAATGAAATTTACCACTGTTATACATCTATATATGAGTATAACAGCTGTGCGCGCTGTAGCTCAGATTTGGCAATGTAAATAAGTATATGCTTTGCAGTCATATAATTGTGTTGCAAACTGTTCTACTGTCACACATTATCGTTGTATAACAGTTTCTTTTTCTTTTTCTCGTCTTGATTTATTTTAATTATGTGTTTTGTGGCTTATTCTGATAATTGTAACTGTTATACGCTGGTGTTTTGTGTTAGCTATTGACTGGCTTTGTAATTTCGCGGGCCTTGCGCCCCCATCCACATCTAAATCCACACAGATATTAATCAGTGCATTCTCTTGCTCTCTCCCTCGCACAGCAATAAACACGAGCGGCGCATGCGGCGACTGCGGCTCAACGGTGGAGAATTGGATGTGCCTGAGCTGCCAGAGCATCGGCTGCGGTCGCTACATCAATGAGCACATGGAGCAGCATTGCCGGCGCGCACAGCATCCGCTGGTGCTGAGCTTCAGCGATTTGTCCGTGTGGTGCTACGAGTGCAACAACTACATCGACCATCCGCTGCTCTATGTCTATCAGAATCTGGCGCACGTGGACAAGTTTAAGGAGCCAATGCCCTGGACGCACGGCTGCCAGCAGCGCACCGATGGCTGCTACCCGATCCAACTGGATGCAGCTGGCAGCAACAAGCAGAACAACAACAACAACAACAACAATCATGGGGCCAGCGGCTGCAGCTCCAATGCGAACACCAACAATGACGACGACAGCGGCAGTGGCAGTGGCAGTGGCAGTGACGGTGTCAGCTACTACATTCAATTGGAGCGAAATAACTGACATTTGGTGGTGCGTGTGCTGGACGCCATTACGGATTACATGTGCACGCTCTGTCCGCCCCTGCGACACGTCTTGCAGCTGTTCATGGAACACATGTGGCCGCTGCTGGAGCGCATTTACCTCAAGCTGATCCAATACTTCCTCACCCAATGAGGCAGCCGTCAGCCATGACAACTACAAGCAGCAAGCAGCATTTTGTAGCCTGTAGTCCGCATCCAGCTCAGAGTACCTTGACTTACGATATATATATCTGCATATGTATACAAATTCGCACCGCTGATGCTGAGAGTCGTTAACCAACCACCCATCCACCCTTCCTTTCCAAATATTGCGAATTGGCATTAAATTTGTTGTTATATTCTTTCGGTAGAGGCAGAGGTACGCCCATAGATTGTTAACCATTCGGTGGACCGTCCACTTCTTACCGCTCGTTTTAATATCCACCCTCTCCTATTCCAGCCCCTGCCCCATTCCCCCCTTCCAACCACCTACCCCACTTTCTACCTGACTTATTGCATATAGAGATTGTTGAAAAAAAAAAAAAAAAAACAAAACAAATTATGAATAGGAAAACCAAAAAAAGTATGAAAGTTAAAAGAGTAAAACAAAAATGTTATCACTAATCATTAATTAATCATGTACGAAATAATAAAATTAGTAAACGACAAGCAATTTTTTGGCACTAACAAAAGTGTTTTTTATTTTTACATTCATGAGTTAGAAGAGTTCAGCAATATAGTGCTATGTGAGTGGAAGCGGTTAAGAAGCATACGGACCACTTCAAAGAGTATGAACTCACATTTATTAATGGTATTTATGAAAGTGAGTCCTGATAGTTGGTTGGCCTTTTAATCTCTTTGCGTTTTGCATTTGTGGGATGTGGTTAGGTCATCATCGTGTTGCTTGCATTTAAAGGTAGAGGCGTCGGACGGAACGGCTACTGGCCAGGCGAGCGTTGCAAAGGGGACACATGTGATTGGTACGAATAACACGGAGGATACATTCCCAGCAAAAGACGTGTCCACAAACAGTTGATGCCGCCTGGCGACCTGTCACGTACTCAAAGCACACTGGACACTCGTAGCTCATCGGTATATCCTCGCCGTCGATGCCAGCCATGCGGCGGCTAGAGCGCTCCGGCTCTTTGGGGGCATCGTCGACGGCATCGCCTGCTGCGGCCGGTGTAGTCGGCTCGGCCAGCTCCTCTAGGTCATCCGATGTAGTCGGTTCGGCCGGTGCGGCAATTGTGCCCGGTGTAGTCGGCTCGGCCATTGCAGCTGGTGCAGCTGGTGGAGTCATCAGCATGGCTGGTTCGGCCACTGCTGCTGGTGCAGCTGGTGGAGTCATCATCATGGCCGGTGCGTTCTTTGGTGCAGCCGGTGTAGTCGGCACGACCGTTACGACTAGGCCGGCTGGTGCAGGCGGCGGAGTTGGAGCCGGTTCTGGCTTAGGAGCAGGAGCGGACTCTTGTTCCTCCATCTCGTCATCTGCCAAGTCAATTATAACTAATGGAGCAGGCTCTGGTGCCTCCATCGGCTCATCCACCAAATCAATTGTAGCCACCAATGGATAATCAACCGGCGGCTGGTTTGGCCTACGTGTGCGACTCACAACGCTGTCCGACAGATCCACAATCACAGTCGGCCCTTTAGAACCAGTGAGATCAAGAATCACTGGATGCTTGTCAAATCGTCCCAACGGTTTGTTCTTGGCGTTGTGCGGCGATGGCTCACCTGGGTTCCTGTTCATATCTGCGAAACGAGAAAATTACTTTTATAGTAACCAGAGCACATGAATACCTCAGAAAATACCACTGAAAAGTAATATACAAACTCATTAATTGGCTTGATTCTTTTATGGATTATTAATATAAAAAAAATAAATGTTTTGGAAATTTACAATTGTGTTTTACTGCTGTGAAAATTTTCGTTTGTGTTTGTTTGTTTGATGTGAACTGTGCGAAGCCTCTCGGACGAATGAAATTTGTGATGGACTGCTCAAGGGGCAGTTTTGGATGTCTCCACTATGGCTGACACAGAATGGCAGAGACTGACCAAGTGTTGCAAAGAGCAGCAGTCAACTGTCAAAAAACGTATGTATGTAGCTGCGCACGTAACTGTAAAGCTGCGCACGTTTGAAACACAGGCATTTGTTTAGAAAACTATTTGCGCATGCACAGCATCATTTATATATATTGATTTACTTACCAAATAAAATCTCGCGTTGCGCACTCGCCGTTTCTGCGCGGAAGCTCCGTTGTCTTTTGGCGCGTCCTTCGGTGTTGATCTGCTCACTAAATAATTAATTTTCAGCTGCAGCCGAAGTCCAGCGAATATTGTGCAAAGTGCCGTTAGATTTATATTCAACACTTTGCAGGTCCGTTAAGAGCAGCGTATTGACTATCTGTCTCAGCGTATTCCGTGTTGCGCGCTGTTAAGTTTGGGTAAATTCACCACACCGTCGTGTTGCTCTCCCGCTCGGGAAGTAACGGCGCTTTTCGTGTTGCACGTCAGTGTGGCTGTGCGGCGGTACGGTACTATCGTTTCGCATTTGTGGCTAACGTTCACACATGTGCATACCTAACTGTAAATGCCAGTTGGTTTTCGTCTTTGCAACTTTGTGCGCTTTTCTTCTCTGGTGCTATTACTTCTGTGCGGCTAAAATGTCGAGAATGTTGGGTAAACCGAATACAAAGGAAAACTTGCTATATAAATGGCAAGTGGAGCTGGGCGAGCCTTGTTTGCAACCGCTTGATGGTTATATGCATTGCACCCTGTGCAATACGCTGGTGAGTGCTTAATAATAGACTAATTATTTATATGGGCATGCGTATCTATGCAGACATTTTGAATTTCTCAGATAAGTGCCAATAGGCGTGCGCAGCTCGTGTCGCATTTGTATTCTGCTCAACACTTGGGCATTGAAGTAAAATCTCCAGAGAAAAAAAAAAGAAAAATACACACAACAGCAACGGCAACAGCAACGGTGACAACAACAATAACAACCGAGGCAGAAGAAGCACCTATAACAAATGGAGAAACTGAGAACCGTACGAATGCGGACGAAGGCAACGACAATGACATCGACAAAGACAACACTCGCAATGATAACGCATTTGATCTGGAATTGTGCGCAGCTTTCAAGTCAGCCAAAATTCCGCTTGCGGCATTAAACAATTCGCAATTCCGCACCTTTCTTCATAAATATACTAACCGCCCCATACGCGATGAGCAATTCATGCGCTGGCGTTATAATGCCTAAGTTGCAATTGTGCCTACTACTCCACTATGAATAATAAAAAAAGCCCAACAACGTAATTTAATTTTAACGGAGTTTTCTTTTTATAGGCGCGGAGCATATTGCGCTTAGAAAATGGACGCGATTTTGAGCCGATTTATGCGCATCTTTGCGCACAATCGAAATGATGTGTTCGATAGCGCATAAAATCGAACCGCGGCAGCCATAAGTTAAACTTCATATTTAATTGAAATTGTGGGCTTATAAAGTTTTTTATTTTGTGTTTGTTTTACAAATACGGTTTGAACTAATTTAGCTCGATTAAATTTATGTTTGAATGTGTTGTGTGCGACATTTATTTTTCATTTTTCGCACGCTTTGAATGTGTCTGCTTAGCCGCAGCTTGTGTGCGTTTTGTTGGCGACTTCTTTGAAGATTTTCTTTTCGGCTCCTCTTCCTCCTCCTGCTCGGAATCATCGTCGTTTTCGTAGGTTACGTCGCTATCAGAATTAGATGGCTCGGTCTCGGTGTCGCTCGTAACGAATTCGCTTTCATCGTCATTCTCTTCATTCTCATCATTTTCGTCATATTCAATGGCGACATAACTGCGAGGCTTTAGCGACTCAAGTGCCTCAATGCGAGCAGCAAGCCTGGCTGCCTGCTGTTTGTCGATGGATAGAGTTGGCGTGCTCTTCTGTGACTTGCCGAACTGTGAGTTATCCAGAAGTGAAAGACAGGTGGGACGACAGTCGATGTTCGTGCATGCGAGCAGCGAGACGTGCATTTTATCCACATTGCATTTCCAGGCCTTGATCTCGCCCGTGCTGTAAGGAACCGTATTGAATTACACAGCATGTTGATGAAGATGTAGGAAAGACTCACCTGGATATGGTCACCAGGGTGTTATGCATGAAGCCAATTCCCTTAACACGATTTTCGTGCATCTTTATCATCTTGGACTATGGAAAGAACAAAGGGGAATCATCATATGCGGTAAGCCGTGAGAAGGAATCTAACAGCATTAAACCTTACCGCAGTGTCTTTTTCCTCATCCAGGCATAGCCATGCAATGATACCATTCTCCAGACCCACCACGCAGTTCTGCTCGTCAAGCCAGGCGACACAGATAGGCTTCGATGTCAGTGAGATTTGCTGCATCACGCTAGCCGTTTGGATGCTCCAAATCTCCATAGTGCGTGGCCCTGCGATGGTGAAGAAATTGCCCTCTGGCGACCAGGTCAGGCAATCGGGGGCGTTGCCCAGAGTACGCTTGCTCTTCAGATTAGTTCTGTATGCTATGCGGCCCTTGACCAAGTTCCATGTGTTGAGCACTTGATCGGCACCCAAGGACAGGCACATGCGGCTACTGGGATGGCAGGCGATATGTGTGACTGCCTTCCCATTGTGGGGCCTGGGCCATTCGCCTTCCGTGGACCAGTTGGCCAGGCGTGTGGCAATCATACGCCCGTCGATGCCACCCGACATTAAATGTGTCGAATCTGACGAGAAGACCAGCGTATTCACAATTCCCTTGTGCACGTTGAGAACGTGGGCTTGTTTTCGTAGAGACATGTCATAGATGAAGATGCGATCGTCGATGCCTCCGGTGGCAATCCAGTGCTTGTGCACAGCCAGGGATTTAATCGAGCCATCATGAGATCTGTCCGCAAACGTTGGCTTCAATTGTAACTGTTTCTCGCCGTTTTTGTCGCGGTTCTCGCATAGCTGATAGCCCAATAGATATTCGCTGTAGGTACCAACAATTATTTCAATAGCCGGCACCATGATTGTCAAATATATCTTGATTCTCTTTTATATGTCAATATTGCATCCTTCGAGTTGAACCGCTGCGGGACTACACGTGCGAAGTCTGACAAAACAAACTTCGATAACTGACATCCGATAACATTTATCGAGTCTATCGCACAGGGCTACAAATGTCAACTTTACATTATTTACAAATTATGTGCTATAGTTGAAACATCTAACGAGTAATTACATATATCCACTAACCAAATATTATTTGGTTAGTAATATATCTTACAGCGCTTCTACCGCGCTGACCCGTTTACGGTAGCCTACTTGCAGCCCTATATTGCTTGTGCAGCTCTGCCGGGCAAGCGATAATTTTTGCAAATAAGTTTTTCTAATTGACATTTACTGCTTCAAGCCATTTACTAGCTCAATCAAATAAATCATTTTTAACAGCTTAAGATTTGTATGTTAAAAATAGTGCGGCAAAGCAATTAAATACGTTTTGCATCCCTGCTATGCTGGTGCAGCCCTGACGGGCAACCGATTACAATTGTATATGCGGTATTTAAGACATAATTTTGTTAATTTAAGAAAGTCGCAGACAAAAAGCAATATTCACACGTGAATTTTTAATAGAGATCAATTGTGAAATTAGCTCTGTCGCAGAGTACTAATTTAGGTTAAGTAAAGGGTTTAATTCACATAGTGTGTGCCACCGGCATTTTATAGGAGCCAGCTGCAATAAAAAGCGCGTCGTTGGTCATGTCAAAGAACACTGGGTAAGTGTACAAAATACAAAATGAAAAAATCGCTTAATCAAATATCAACAGACGTGATCGGGATCGGGAGCGCGACCGCGACAGGGAGAGGGACAGAGATAGGGACAGGGAGCGGGAGCGTGAGAAGCACTACGAAGGTCGGAGCGGTCGTGGAGACTACGACAATGGCAAATCGTCACGCAACGGGGCCAGCCTGAGCAGCAGCTCGCGAGGTGGGCGTGAGGAGCGCAAGCGGCTCAAGGAGCCAACCAAGGAGAGTGATCGTGGTGTTGGGACGCGTCGCGATGAGAAACGGCGCAAGCGTTCCAGGTCCAAGGACTACGATAAGGACAAGTGAGTATATGCAGCTCTCAATAGAGAAGTTTTTCGTAATGCTTTGCCTTGCAGACGGCAGTTGGATCGTGAGCGTGATAAGGATAAGGAGCGTGAGCGCGAGCGGGAGCGTGAAAGGGATAGAGAGCGCGACCGCCAGCGCGAACGGGATAAAGAGCGTGAACGGGAACGCGACCGAGAGCGAGAGCGGGAACGGGACAAAGAGCGTGAACGGGAGCGTCAACGTGAACTAGACACACGTCGCGCTGCGATGTCGGCAGCTCCGTTGGTTATACCCGTCGGCTCGTCCAGCAGCTCCTCGGACAACGAGGAGGAGGAGGAGGAGGAGGAGGAAATAGACAAGGAGGAGCAACAGCGCCGCCTTGAGCAGGAGATGATCAAGCGACGTGAACGCATCGAGCGTTGGCGTGCCGAGCGCAAACAGCGCGAGCAGGAGGCGGGCAAACGAGATGTAAAGGCGCCAGTAGCCCCTGCAGTCACTAAATCGGCCAAGAAGTGGAGCCTCGAAGATGAGTCCGAGGAGGATGACAGCAATCCATCGCCAATCATCGACGTTGATGTGGGCAAAAAAGAACCCGACTCGCCGCCATCCAAATTCCACAGCATTCGCAAAAATTTTGACGACGATCTGGTCGAGTCGAAGTTTGCGCCACTGAAGCGGCCCACATTCAGCAAGGTCCTGATGCTTACATCTCCAGCTGCAGCCGCAGCAACTACTGCTAAATCCACAACAACAACAACAACAACGACAACAACRCCCACAGTGGAGAAACCCACACCAACTACAACAACAACAGATACTGCAGCCACAGCAGAACCAGTTGTAGCCGATCCCGAAGTGGAGCTAGTCAAGGCGGAAGAGCAGCCGGCTGTGGCGAATGCAGCAGCTGATTCACCCAAGACGCCAGTGCAGGTCGAACCGGCTGCGGCCGCTGTGGAGTCCGAGGACGATGTGGATCCACTGGATGCGTATATGCAGGAGGTGAATCGAGAAATGCGCCGAGTCAATCATTTCGTTAGCCCCGCCAAGGCCCAGGGCGTGGTGATCCTAACGGGCGTGGCCAAAAAGAAGACAGTGGCGGTGAAGAAGGGCGAACTAATTGAACAGAATATGGACAGCTTGGAGTACTCCAGCGAGGACGAACTGGAGGATATACGCGACACGGCTGTCAATCTAGCCATGAAGCATCGCAAAGAGCTAGCCAAGATCGATCATTCCTGTGTCAGCTACGCGCCGTTCCGTAAGAATTTCTACGTCGAGGTGCCCGAGCTGGCACGCATGACCAGTTCCGAGGTGGAGAAGTATCGCAGCGAGCTCGAGGGCATCCAGGTGAAGGGCAAGGGCTGCCCCAAGCCCATCAAGGTAAGTGGGTCATCAGTCGATCAAATCTGCAGTTACGTAATGACCTTCCGACTCCTTCACAGACGTGGGCGCAATGTGGCGTCAGCAAAAAGGAGATGGACGTGCTGCGCAAGCTGGGCTTCGAGAAACCTACGCCCATACAGTGCCAGGCGATACCGGCGATAATGTCTGGGCGGGATCTGATAGGTATTGCTAAAACTGGCAGTGGCAAGACGTTGGCATTCATTTTACCAATGTTTAGGCATATTCTTGACCAGCCGGCGCTCGAGGATGGCGACGGTGCCATTGCGATCATAATGGCACCGACACGCGAGCTCTGCATGCAGATTGGCAAGGATATACGTAAATTTAGCCGTTCGCTTGGATTGCGACCCGTATGCGTCTATGGCGGCACCGGCATCTCCGAGCAAATTGCCGAACTGAAGCGCGGCGCCGAGATAATTGTCTGTACGCCCGGACGCATGATTGACATGCTGGCTGCGAATTCGGGGCGTGTCACCAACTTGCGACGGGTCACCTATGTGGTGCTGGATGAGGCGGATCGCATGTTTGATATGGGCTTTGAGCCGCAGGTGATGCGCATCATCGACAATGTGCGTCCAGATCGACAAACGGTCATGTTTAGTGCCACATTCCCACGGCAAATGGAGGCGCTTGCCCGCCGTATACTGAAGAAGCCCGTCGAGGTAATCGTTGGCGGTCGCTCGGTGGTCTGCAAGGATGTCGAGCAGCATGTCGTCATCCTGAACGATGAGGCGAAGTTCTTCAAGCTGCTCGAACTATTGGGGGTCTATCAGGAGACGGGCAGCATCATAGTCTTTGTCGACAAACAGGAGAATGCGGACATTCTGCTGCGCGACCTAATGAAGGCGTCCTATCCGTGCATGAGCCTGCACGGCGGCATCGATCAGTTTGATCGTGACTCCACCATAATTGACTTTAAGTCTGGCAAGGTGCGCCTGCTGATTGCCACTTCGGTGGCAGCGCGCGGCCTCGATGTCAAGGATCTCATACTGGTTGTCAACTATGATGTGCCCAATCACTACGAGGACTATGTGCACAGGTAAGACTCGAGCAAAACGCCCGCTCCAGAGAGTCTACAATTTCCATTATTCCGTAATCATCCTTTTCAGATGTGGACGCACTGGTCGAGCTGGGAACAAGGGCTGCGCCTTTACATTCATCACGCCAGAGCAGTCGCGTTATGCGGGCGATGTTATTCGCGCTCTTGAGCTATCCGGCACACCCGTGCCTCCCGATCTGCTAACTCTGTGGAACGACTATAAGGCAGCACAGGAGGCGGAGGGCAAGACGGTGCATACGGGCGGCGGCTTCAGCGGCAAAGGTTTCAAGTTCGATGAGCAGGAGTTCAATGCGGTGAAGGAGAGCAAGAAGCTGCAGAAGGCGGCGCTCGGCCTGGCCGATTCCGATGACGAGGAGGACATCGAACAGGATATCGATCAGCAAATCGAGCAAATCTTTGCGGCCAAACGCACCGTCAAGGATACCTCGGTTGCCGGCACTGCGCTAGCTGCGGCGAATGCCGTTGCGAGTGCCCTCAGTACGACCATCACTTCGACCCATGTCAATGCCCAGCAACAGCTGCAGCAGCAGCAGCAACAGCTACAACAACAAATGGCCACGTCAGGGGCCGTAGGCTCGGACAAACTGGAGCTGGCGAAGCGTTTGGCCTCCAAGATAAGCAGCAGTCGCAATTTGGATACGAAGGCGACTCAGGTGGCCACCGAATCAATAATGAAGGGTCAGGCGGGCGTCGGGTCCGGACAGCCAATGCTAACGGCGCGCACCGTAGTCGAACAGCTGGCGGCCAAGCTGAACAACAAGCTCAACTATCAGCCCAAGGAGGATGAGGACGGCCTGTCCGCGCTGATGGGTAGCAACACGAACTCGTTCACCAAATACGAGGAGGAGCTGGAGATTAATGACTTCCCACAGCAGGCACGCTGGAAGGTCACCTCCAAGGAGGCACTGGCCCAAATCTCCGAGTACTCGGAGGCGGGCCTCACAGTCCGTGGCACCTATGTGCCTCAGGGCAAGAATCCGCCCGAAGGCGAGCGCAAACTTTACTTGGCCATCGAGAGCTGCAGCGAGCTGGCCGTGCAGAAGGCCAAGCGCGAGATAACGCGCCTCATCAAGGAGGAGCTGCTCAAGCTCAGCTCGGCTCATCATGTGTTCAACAAGGGGCGCTACAAAGTGGTCTAAACGTACAGCTAATATATATACAAATTTGTATATATAATACATAAAGTCCATTAAATGTCTTGGTCAATGTCTAAAAACAGAAAACACTCAATGAAACGCTATTTATAAAAGCCTAATTTACAACAACAAAGAAATGAATATATTGCCTATCTATACTTAATCCCCTGGCAAATATGTGCCCTAAAGAAATACCACAAAAGTCTTACGAGTTCCATGAGACCCTGTTTTACATCGTGCAATACCGAAGTCACTTAACAGCCCTGCGTAGCTCAGATCGATTGGAATTCGAAAACTTTTTGAAACACTTGAACTCTAAACAATGCGACAACCTTAACATATATTCATAGATCCCACAATTTTTATTTGTATTTTTTCAATTGTAAGATAAATACTTGAATACTTAGAGAGCTTAATATAATTGTATTTGTATTTGAAATGATTCGAGGAAACAAATATACAAATTGATGTGTGTGTGTGTGTGAAAGCAAATGGGCATATCTACATCTTCCTTCTTAAGGCAAGGAAATATACTTATATTATATTTATATTGTACATAACTGATAAGCTTGCCTTCTCTATGTAATTTTTGATATATAAAACTGCTTTGTGTTGTTGTAGATTGGTCCTAAATATATGTTTATTTATAGATGTCTAGCTGTCCTGTTTTAACCCTTATGAATCGTAGAAGAACCTAGTCCATAGACGAAGGTTAAGGATGTGCTCCTATATCATATTAACACTAACATAGCGCAACTTATTAAAGCATCTTGAAACAATATAGTCATGTTCTCAGTATTTTAAATTCTTGTCTTGATTACTAAGAATTGTAGATCCTACAGCTGTAGATACATTCATCTTAAGCAGCTCAAAGCTCTCAGATCACATGATCTATAATCAGAAATGAATATGTAATGCAGTTGTATATATACATGTATACGTTGGGAATAGCGGTGTTCTGGATACATCCCAGTAGGGGATATATCCTGTATATATTTTGTTCTATATATTCCTTTTGCCAGTTTCTGTTCCTAGAGGATAAAAGCTGAAGAATTTAATTCTAAAAAGCTAAAACTTCCATTTCCCGTTGTCAATCATCTTAGCCAACTTCACATCGATTATTGCAATGCCCATTGCATCTATATAGATACTTCTCATTTGGGAAATATATTCGCGTGTTTATAGCAACATATAGTACTTAGATATCATACCTACGATATGGTATGGATATATGTATGTATGAGCATACATATGTATGTCTGTGCTTGTATATTTACGGGAGAGATGAGGAACATCGGGAATGACTGCATATATTGTGTTTTGTGTACTATTTCATCCAATATCTGCAATGCTTTGGATGCAATAAATACTTCGACTATATAGTAAATATACTCATATATACATATGTATATGTATAGCTAATCATATATGTATATCTATATGCAAGTATAGGTATACTTCTAGCACTTGGAGCTCTATTGCAAGTCCTGTATCGTATACTAAAATCGTAATTAGAGTAATTAATACTAAATTAAACTCATACTTCCTTTCTTATAAATAATATGGGTTGGCTCAAAGGTCACAGAGGTTTCTTAATATCTATAATCGAAAGAATGTAGTCAAGGTTCCAGTACCCGTTCTGTTACCCATAAGCACAATTATTTACATACTGTCAAATCGATAACACAAGGCGATCGACTGACGCCGATTGGCTTTTCAAATCTACAACAGCTTGGAACGATAACACAAGACGATAGGTGACAGAGGATCGATAAACGTTTGCGCTGAAAGTCCCGTAGCTGGCATTAAAATTTATTCAATTTTTATTTCTCAAAGATCTTTCACGTATGCTGTACAAAATTAAAATATTTCCTCTTTTTTTTTTTTGCTTTTGGTTTATTATTTTTTTTAGATTGTTTTTTTTTTTGTTACTTTTTATTTTTTTAATGATTTTTTTGTTGTATATTTGAGTTTTAGCTTATTTAGCCGCATTTTATTAACTTATCGCCCGCCGTTAGCGCGTCTCAATTGATTTTCATGCTACAATATTTTGTGTCTAGAAACTACTAAAATTAAATTTAAATGTAGTTATGAGTGTTTTGTTTTTGTTTTTTGTATTAATTTTTATATTATTACATTTTTATCATTATTTTCGTAATTGTAATTATTATTATGCGCTTGAAAAAAATTGTTTGTTTTATGCACTAGTTTGTCGGCAATGTTTCATTTTTTTTGTGTTTTTTTTTTAATTTTTAAATTTTAATCCTTTT